CGTATCACATCATGCATCCGACAGTGTTTTAGTCGTCCGGCATAATTCCTTAGCACTACCTGTAATAGGCTTCGGTTCACAAGCTCAACCAAGTATCCCTCTGCCACTTCCTCCAATGTTTTGCTCTCATCTTTTTCCGTGATAAACCCTGCCGTGATCCACTGCCTCATTGTCTTCCTCCTCTTTAATACATAATCTTCTGGGGACAATGCACAGTGTAAGAAACAATTCTTCAAATCACATGGAAGGTCCTCCAAGCTTACCTTTAGGATTAAATGAGCATCAGGAATCACTTCTTTCGCAAACTGCGAATCCAAACACATGTACACATCCTCCCATTCAGCGGAATTTTGGGGTTTGCAGGAGAGTAGGCGCCCAATGCACGCAATAGCAATAGGCAAACCTTGACACTTTGCTATGAACTTCCAAGCCAATTCCTGCAGCTCTAGCGGGCACTTTTTGTCATCATCATTCCAAAATGCCCGTTTGCAGAACAACACCCATGAGTGATGTGCTTGTAGTGGTTCTAAGTGAATTGCATATGCAGACTCCCTAGTTGCCAGCACTGTCTGCTTTCTTGATGTCATAACAACTCGGCCGATACAGTTAGATGTTGGGAAGATATCCCTTATCTCCGACCACAAGCGCTCATCCCAAACATCATCTAGGACCAAGATGTACCTTTTACCTTGAAGGTAGTTGTGGATGGACTTTGCTAGGCCTCTCACCTCAATGTTGGCAATGTCGACTGTGATGCTGAACTGGGAGGCAATCTTCTTCAGCAGATCCTCAATACGGTAACTTTCTGACACAGTTACCCATGCCGCCACGTCAAAGTCCTCTTTCATGGTGTTGTACACATGATCAACCAGAGTGGTTTTACCAACACCAGGCATCCCCCAAACCATGGTGACTTTGCTGCTGCTCTGCTCCGGACCATCACCACTGCCTGTCAGCCACCGTATCAACCTCTCCTTGTGCTCTTCGATCCCCACAAGGTCCTCATCCCTGGTGAAGTGCAAAGCTTGAACTTGATTCGTCGATCTGGCAGCAGTAGCAGATCTGCCAGTGACGGCATAATCTCTCTTCCTTCGGTTGGCCTCCTGCAGCTGGGCTTCAATTTCTTGGAGCTTGGCTGCCAGACACCGCCATGCCTTGATATGCTTCAGCCGCTTCCTCATCTTGCCAGCGAACCCTCCATGCTTGCAGTCCTCCAGCTTATAGATGAACTCGTCAACGACGTCCTCGATCCGGAAGGCCAGGCCCCTTATCTCGCCGACGAAGATGGCGGTGGTCTGGTCGGTGTCCTTGAACCGCTCTGCCTCCTGCAGGTACGCTTGCATGCTCTCCAGCTCCGCCTTGGACCTACGGATGTTGCTGAAGAGGCCCCTGAGGGCGGTGGCTTCCTTGCCGAGCAGCGCCCGGCCCAAGATGACCGCCTCTTTCGCCAGCGCCGCGCCAAGCATGACCACGAGCTTCCCGACAACAGCTTCTGCCATGGTTATTGACGCTTTGAGCTCAGATGGAGAGGATTCTTGCTATCGGAGGAGCAGGATTATTCTGGCTGCTGTATGGGAGGAAGAGGACATACGAATGGTTTGGTAACGTTGGCTACAATGGGTGATCTATTTTATTCTAAAACAAAATTCTGTCAAGAACTTTAGACGCAATTGGACAAATTATTGGGCAAGAACTTCAATGTTCTCAGCTAAATTATATAAGTATATGCGTTCTATGAGAAAAAAAACAAAAAGAGAAGAAGTGTACAAAACAGACGGTGTGATACTTATTTATTTTCTCTGGCACATCGCAAATGCACATATTGTTGGACGAGAACTCCAATGTTGTCAAATTATAGGATGACTCACACCGGACCCTTTTCTTACCCCTACTTCCAAACTTCATAGTTGCTGTCCGCCTCAAACTTTTGGAATGTATATCTTGGTAAATGCAAGATTCACATCACGTACAGGACAGTCATAGTAGCAAGAGGGGCACAAGTAAAATTATCTTGGTTTAAACTAAGAAAAGATCCTAAACCGAAGTCATCAAGAAACACTTTCAAACTCTCGTGTTTTTCCAAAGGAAAACGTTTGGGTCCGGGGTGCTCGGCCAGTCGTGCGTGACCCGTGCAATCTCCTTCATCGTATGGCAGCCCTCTCGCGTGGTGGGACACGTGGCTGACTGGGCCCACCAACCGCTGGCCATCAACTCCCCGTGTGGCTGTGTTGTTCCCTGGCTCTTTCTCATCTTGTGGGCCGCACACACTCTCTGGTGGCCGTCCCTCGTCGGCCGGCCGCATCGCCAGTCCCCGCCCCCACCAAACTTTTTTTTTGAGAACTGATGACAGTGGGAGAGGATCCTACTGACTTTAAATTAAAC